TTACTTCCCCTGAACTGGAGGAGCACCTAAAACCCTGACAACAGGAAATATTAAAGAGGATATTTTAATTTGATACCTAGACTTACATCAGAGTTAGGTAGTGGGCCACTGGGCAGCTTCAGAATAGAGAGCAGTGGCCAGAAGGAGAGCAGGAAAGATGAAGCCTGACTGTTACCCACCATGGTGGACACTCCGTAGGCAATGGTTGGTGGGGCAGAAGGACATGTGTACGCAGCTCTCTTTGATGTACCTGCAACAGGGGGTGGATTCTATTCTGCTGTGTGGTGATTAGGAAAGAAGGTTGGAATTGGGACCTGGGGACTCTCCCATCTAGCCAGCTCCATGTATTGGGTACTTATAGGTTGCAAATCTGTTTCCTTTTGTACACCTAAATAGCAGTTCCACAGCCATGTACCTGGGCATTTTTAGCTGTTGTGTTGTGGATGTGTAAGTGTGTATGTAGGCTATGCACTGGCTGGGTATGTACATAGCACCATGTATGCAGACCTGAATGTAAGTCCTGAAAAAAGTGATAGGGGAAAAGCACACCCATGTCCAGATTAGGGCACTTGCTTAGGAAGTCAGTAACCCAGGTTCTAGATCCCTCCCTTGTCCAGAAAGGGTCTAGAACCTGCCTCTGTCTTCAAGTCTATTTTTTATTTTATATTTTAGTTTTAAATATTAGGGGTGGAAGGGACTTCCAGAGGAGTCCAACCTCCTGCTTGAGGCAGAATTATCGCTATCTGAGCCATCATATACAAATCCATAATCTAACCTCTTAGCAAAACTACACGGTCAACCCGGACACAACAGTTGATTTGATACAACATCTTGATACAACACCCTTACCTGCCCCAAGTAAAGCAGGGGACCATCCATGGTGGTCAATATCCTGCTACTATAAAAATTGTTAAAATATGTTCAAGAGATCCCAGGAAGCAGGCCATGCTCTCCACTACAGGGGAATGCAAAACTCTTCTGCTGCTACAGGGGTCAGGGTTTTTGGATTTTTTACCTTCCTCAGATGCACTGGGTGTTGGCTGTATGGGGATTTTGATCCCAATGTTCTGGTGGGACTCAAACCTGGAGATTCCAAGTTAAGGGTCATGCCCCGCTCCTCAGGGTCGATTGCTGCATTTAGAGCCAGGAAGAAATTTTATCCCATGGTCAGATTGGTGCAGATCGGCAAGGGGTGGGGGGTGCAGCTCCTGAAGAAATCATTTAACCACAAATTATTTTTTGAGCTGGGTCACTGTGTGCACATCACTGATTGCTCTGTGACTTTTGACAGTGTCCAGATTTTAGTTTTCAGAGGAAAGGGGTAAACAGTTTGGTCACCAATGCTGTGTATGGTCAGCAGAACCACAACCAGCAGCTGGGTTTTATAAGAAAGCAGCCACAAGTGCATTTACTGAGGAGCCCAGTCTTGTCAATATGTGTTCAACGTGCACCAAGCACATGTCTATACTGTGGCAGCCACCTCCTTGCCAAGGCAAATAGGCTCTGCACTCTCATTCCCACTCTGCATGTGCCAGCCCTTCAAGAGGAGACTGGATGGTCACCTTGCTGGTCACATGACCCCAGTTGTCTTTCCTGCCAGTGCAGGGGAGCTGGATCCGAGGATCTTGCGAGGTCCCTTCCAGCCCCTTACAATCTATGAATCTATGAACCCTGGAAATGAGGTAATGAGAACACCCTGAGGGGACCCTGGCATGCCTCTCCTTGCAAGATCTGGATTTTGTGCATGCTGAAAATGCTTACTTTGGGTTCCCCTATTGAAGCTCTCACCCCCTCATTTCTTTGGCTGGGTAGAAGGGTGTGAGCGAATGGTGCTTGTTGCCTTAGCTGTGGGCACATTTACATGTGCAATTGAGTCAAAGCAATAAATTCTGGTGCACATAAACTCCAGCACACTTTACATCAGAGTTTATTGCTCCTGGGCATGCCCTTTGAACATGTGCCCAGGACTGCAGCATGCTATGCCAGGGCAGAGTAGCTCTAGCTATCCAGGCGGCCCTGGGGATTACAGTACTGGACTTCGGCACAGTGCCGAATTCCTCTATTAGATGCAGTCCCTGGTTGCCAGGATATTCCAAGACAGAAATATTGAACAAATGAAAAAGTTGGTCAGTAGTTTCCCCCCTTTTTCTATTCAGTTTCAAACCTGAGGTTGATTCCTAAATGGTAACTGCCAGAAGTGTGGCCCAGTTTAATGTGAAAGGCACAATAAAACCAACAAACAACAACAAATGCCAAAAGCAAAGGTAAAAATTCTCTCTTTGACAGATGATGCATCCTTTGCGAAGCTGGAGGCGTATGATTTTGTAGGATCTTTGCCTCAGGGACTTGTTAGTTTCAATGGGACTAATGGCTGCTAATATTAACAAAATAAATGACATCATAACTTGTAAGTCGAAGGGCTAGATTCTGTCCTTGAGATCTCAATCTATCCTTGAGATCTCAATCAATATTTAACCATATATCTCACTGACAGCAATAACCACATCATCTATATTGCTTAACCCAAGACACAGGAGGAAATGGCACGGAGGGAAAATATTGTACATGCCTGACCTTGCTACAGTAGCACCATTGATCCTGTACAGAATCTAGCTCCTGTCTTGCCCCTCCCCCCGCAACCTTCTGGACTTCACACCCATCTAGGAGCTAGGGATAAAACTCAAGGGTCCTGACCACCTGTCTCCACTTCTCTAAATATTATCCCTTTCTCCCTTCCTGCAATATTTTAAATTGTGTAGTATCTTACAACTAATACTATTATTGTTGTTTTGTTGTTAATAATAGTAATTTCCCTCCCTGCACTAGAGAACTCAAACTGAACACAGTTGCTAAGGTGAGTCTAATTTCGATCAAGCTATGAGCAAATGCAGAGTATTATTGCTTTTTGTAGTATTTTAGAGGTGTTCATCAGTGCAGAAATCATGATCGTCATATGAGCTTCTAAAGGCTCATTTTGAGTCTTTAGACCTGGCATTTGGGACCCATAGAAGAGCTGATTCTCTGTGACCGAGAAGACTCACACTGTCTACTTTAAATTCCAATTCTCTCCCCATGAAAGCTTGGTACAAAGATGAATGCAAAGCAGCTACAAATTGCAATCACTGGCTTTTGGCAAAAGTCTAGAAAAAAAGTGAACTTCCATCTAATCAATCCTATCTACATTATGGGATAACATATCCTCAAAGGGTTACAAATCTGCAGAAAAATAATGCTATGAATTTATTGTTATGACTTACAACTGATTATGGGTCTTATTGTTTATGATGAATGAAGAAAAACAAGTTGATGATGCAAACAAATGCAAAATGATATGCCTCTGGAAGAATTATCAAAAGCACAAACAATGGAAGTTAATTAGCTAAGTGGCAGGATTCCTGAGAAGGATCTAGAATTTTTGGTGAATCATACATTCAACGTAAGTCAGCAACACAGTTGTAAAAATTCAGATGTGGTCTTGGTATTAAACCTCATTTAAAATATTATGTGAAATTCTGGACTTGACATCTTAAAACAGATGTAAAGAAGTTAGAGAGGGTCCAGAGATGGACAAAAGAAAAATGAAGGGGTGGAAGGCAAGCTGTATGAAGAAAGGTTGAGAGAATTGCTTGTGTTTCAGTTGGACTAGGTGACCATAGAGGTCCCTTCCATTCCTATGATTTAAAGTTAGCACTAATCAATAGATATAGGGGTCATTATTTGACCATGGATGGATGTTCATTAATTGTTGTTAATAATTATTCAGTAATAATTAGTATCTGGATTCATACCAAAAAATAAGTTTGTAACACATTTTACAGGAGCAGAGTTACTCCATACATATTCCATTAGCACCAATGAGTACTATAGTTTTTCACTCTCCTTCTTTCATATGACATTTTAGAATTATAACATTAATAGATTAATATCTAAATTTAATAGCCATTTGACTGCGTCAGGGGTAGCTGCATGGATTGATTTTAGATAGCCTTTAAATGATCTAACTGGGCAATTGTTCACAATATGTTGTACCATCTGAAAAATCGCACCACAATCGCAACCTGGACTCTCTTTGATTCTCCATTAATGGAGTAGGTAGTTCTTCACTAGATACAGTGAAATTACTTTGAATTGTTTTTGAGATGCTATAGAGTTGCTTTCTAGATACAACTATTCTAAAGCCATTTTTACAGAATGAACAGAGTTACTCCAAATATATTCACATCACAAACACTCCAGGATTGTTAAAGAATTTATCCATAAACACTATGAAATACAGCTATTGCACAGATGCTTCATAGTTACTACAATATCACTCCATTAGCCCAGTAATATTAGAAATTGTATTGCTAAACCACATACTTCCTGCAATTACAATGGATGTAGAAACTCCTCATATAATACAGACTTACTCCATAGATATCCAATAATGATTTCATAGAAATTCTGAAGGACAGCATATGAAATAGTTGCCTGTGAAAAAAGGTGGCTGGACAAGAGGACCCAGAAGGACACTTGCAGTCCTATGTTCCTAAATTTCAAGAAAATTACTGCCAGTTGCTCTCTTAACTACTACATTGCTACCCCATAGGTGTTATGGTTACATTACAAACATTATGTATATAACTGTCTAGCTACTTAGAAAATACCTAAGGGTTACACTAGTGAAAAATTGTAGAGAATTTGACCTTAGATGTTAACCCCAGCCCCCTCCAACTTTCCAGACCCTACCTACCCTTATAAAACTATTAAAGAGCTGTGGTATAGACATAAAATAACCAGCACAACAAACCTATTGATAAGTTGCTTCAGAGGTTCTTTGGAATTATCCCTTAGCTTATACAAAATTACAAGAAATGTACCATCCTAAATATCCTAGAGATTTACTTGAAAGCTACTCTTTAGCCACTGCAGATGCATTATAGATTTACTTGAGAGTTCTTTTGGTGTTACAGGTGTCTGGCATTACATATAGAAAAAAAATCCAACTCCTGAACTTATGCTTACTTGCTCAGTTCTCTACAACAAAGCCCATATCTACAGACCATCCTCTTCATTGCTGACTTCACTTCTTTGTTTCTCAGTGTGTAGATCATGGGGTTTGTAAGGGGGAAGACCACAGTGTGCAACACGGCCACCACCTTCTCCATGGGGATGGTGCGGAAGGGCTGGCAGTAGATGTAGATGGCTGGGACAAACATGATAAAGACGATGATTATGTGAGTGATGCAGGTGGAAGCCACTTTCTTCTGTCTTTGGGTTGACTGTGCCCGTAGTTTGAGCAGAAGGAAGGAGTAGGAGACAAGGAGAAGGAGGAAGCAGAAGAGAATGACCAGGCCATTGTTGGAGAAGGTCAGGATCTCCACCAGGGAAGTGTCTGTGCAGGCCAGCTTGACCACTTGAGGAACATCACAGAAGAAGTTGTCCAGCACATTGGGCCCACAGAAAGGGAGCTGGGCAGTCAGAGCCACCTGGATAGCACTGTGGAATAGGCCCCCAATCCATGTTGCCCCCACCAGGATCCAGCAGAGCTCCCAGCTCACCACAATTGTGTAGTGCAGGGGCTGGAAGATGGCCACATAGCGGTCATAGGCCATGGCAAGGAGGAGGAAGGCTTCAGCTGCCCCCAAAAAGTGGAGGAAAAAGAGCTGAGCCATGCAGCCTCCATAGGAGATGGCTTTGCAGAAGGAGAAGAAGTCAGCCAGCATCTTTGGTGGGGTAACAGAGCAGTAACAGATGTCCAGGAAGGCCAAGTTGGCCAGGAAGAAATACATGGGGGAGCCCAGGTGGGGGTCATGCAGGATGGTGAGAATAATAAGGATGTTCCCTGGGAGGATGATGATGTAGAAGAACAGGAAGAGAAAGAAGAGGATAAGCTGGACTTCTTGGGCTGGGGACAAACCCAGGAGGATGAATTCAGTCACCACTGTCTGATTCTCCAGCTCCATCCCCCTCCCCTATAACACCAGTGCATGAGGCAGGGAATGAGGACAAGAAAAAGCAGCTCAGCAGCACATTCTGGGCTGCTGCAAATGTTGCACAAAGGGTGGGGGGAGGGAGGGGGGAGGGTGTTGTCTACCTGAGCCAGAGCACTACTCACCTCACTGGCAATATGGGTTTGGCTCCTTGTTTTTCCACAGACTATGCACCAGTTTACTGGGTCTGGTTTCATTATCTTTCTGATATCCTAAATTGAAAAATCCCCAATAAGAACCACTTGAGGGTTTCCACCCACTAGAAAGGAGCATCACCCTACATACTACAGGAAGGAAGAAACTTTCCCATAGAAGGATTATTTTAGCACTGCCTATAGATGGTTTTCTTGTCCTTTCTCATGGCAGTCACTATTAGACACAGCATACAGGGCTAACTGAAGCTCAGGTTTGATCAGGTCTGAAAGTTAAAGTTTCACCCAAGCCTCAGTGGTTCATTGCAATGGTGTAGTTAACCACAGAATCATAAAAAGAGGGCTTGAAGGGATTTTGCAAGATACTGTCATCCAGCTTCCTACTCCAGGTAGGCTCATGCTTGTCAGAACTCTCTCAGCCACATGTTTATCATGGTACGCATGGTACCTATTTACTGTTGGGTTGAATAGGAACACTTGGGTATGAGTCCTGTGAAGGGGAAGTAAAGCACTAAACTGTTCAGCACCAAACTCCAGCCTTCCAATCACCTCTGGCCATCCCTCTCTTTTTGTACACTGAGCAGAAAGGCAGAGTTCCAGCATTTTGTCCAGTCAATAGAAGAGGCTTTGCAAGTCCTACTACAAACACATCTGGACCATCAGTCACCTCAGTTCCTTTAAAATCTAGCCCTTAATTGATCTACATCCCAGATCCCTACCTGTATGCTGGGTGAATGTACTGCCTGACCTCCTACAGAGGATGAGGATAACTGCATTAAAGTTTGTGAAACTCTTGGTCCCATAATGCTGGCATCTGTGGGTGGCAGAGATGGATCAGAGGGCAACCAAGAATGGGGTTTGAGGTGGGAGGTACTCACCTTGCTCGCAGACCATCTGAGGAACAGATCACTGTCTTCATCACAGTGAATGTCCTTGGGGTCCTCAACATGGAATCAGGACCAGATCCCATCAAAACATGCTGGCCCTTTCTGAAGGGTGGAGGCTAGGTTTGTCTCAAAGCGGTAAAAAGAGCTGGTAAAAAGGGAATGAATAAGGGAAGTTGGAACCTGGCATCAGGCTCACTTCCATGGATTTTGGCTGTGAAGGCTGTGTTTCAGGGTTGGGGGGAGGGTCTACAACTCACCAGGTAGGGAGCATGCCAGGGACCCTTCTGTGTACCCCATGAATAGCTCATTTAGTAGAGTTTTAACCTGAGGGTCCAGAATTCAACTCTCTGATCAAGCAGCAGCAATTAGATAGAAATACATAGAATCCAGCATGAAATCTATGTGAGGCTGTGGAACCTCCATCCCTGGAATTTTTTAAGAGCAGGTTACACAAACACTTGACTGGGAAGGTTTAGGCAGGGATGCTCCTGCCTTGAGCAGGGGGTTGGGCTAGACCAGTGGGGCCAACCTTTTCTGTAGGCATGTCACAAATTAGCTCTGCACCCTTTCTTGGTGCCACTCCAATCCCCTTCTCCTGGCCCATCTGCTGCTCTGCTTTCTGCTTCCTGCCCTATCTGGCAGCGTTGCTTGTCCCCTCCCTGATCTGCTGTGGACCACATACAGAGGCTTCCCATGTCACTTGCGGCATGCATGATGCAGATTGGCCACCTTTGGACTAGATGACCTCATGAGGTCCCTTACAGCCATACTTTCCTGTGATTCACCACCACTGCTACAACTGCTGTACCCAAAGAGAGGAACAAAAACAGCTTCAGGGCTCAGAGATGGGCACTTTTCCATCCAGCTTCCTGTATGCCATTCTCTGTGTGCTGGCCTCTCTATCAGTGCCTTCCTTAGGCCAAATGAGTTGCTATGCTAGGTTTCCAGGGGGGCAGGGATTTAGCCCAGCTGATAGGACAGCTAGGGAAGGGCTGGAGGGTGGACAAGCAGCTGGATCCTGGGTGTATAGTGTTGCGGAGGGGCCCTGGATAGCTCTCCAGCTGTAGAGAAGTCTCAAGCAGGAAAGCACAGAGCAGCTAAAGATGAGGTTCTCTAATGGCCTCCACAGCCCCCAAGGGTACCATCCTGGGCCATGGGGGATGGAAGGATGCAGAAAGAAGATAGAAGGAAAACAGAAGAAGAAAAAAAGAATAAGAAAGGAAAGAAGGAATGGTAGTAAAAATGGAGGGAATGGGAAAGAAAGGTACCTTGAGATAGCAGGGCACAGACTCACCATGCATGCAAAAGTGCAGTGGCAGAACTGCTAGGAAGGCCCCATCTCCATCCCTCCTGCAGAACATCCCCTTTTGCCACCTCCAGCTATATCTCCTATGACACGCTATGTGCTGGCACCGAAGGCTGGGCTGGGGTTCCCAGGTTTAGAAGGCTGGAGCTCAGAGACCCAGGGGAGGAGCAGCTGTTGCTTAGTACAATGGTCTTGTTTGTAATTCAGTACCTGTACTAGAGACAGGTGGGTGTGGAGACATAGGGTCCTGTCCCCACACTGAGAGGGCAGGAGAAGGGAGGAGGCTGGCTATTTGGTCCCACAGCAAGACAATATTCTCACAGCATGGGCTGTTGCAAAGCTCCCTCTCTGTACGACCGGGAACGAAACTTGTGACAGGGCAAGGCAGATGCATCAAGTGACACAGGGAGGGTACTACACAGAACCCAGGAGTCCTGGCTTCCACAGAGGTACAATTAATCAGGGGCTGTGATAAAGGCCAGGCCAGCTGAGACAGCAGCTGTGGCTGGGCCAACAGTGTTGGAAGCTGCTGTTTTTGCACCCCCTCCAACACTCCCCACCGTCTACAGTCTGCACAAGTTCAAGCCCTCTGGGTCCTTCCCCTTCTTCCCAGTCAGCAGATCAGAGGGGGCAGGAGTCACTAACCCCAGAGATGGAGACAGGGCCAGAAGCCAGGCACTGCAGCTCTGCGGCAGGGTGGGGTGGCTTTTCCTTGTCCACCTCTTTCAGTGTGCGCTGGGCTGAGGGCTCTGAATGATGCAGCACAAACCTCAAGTCCCATGCCAGTTTTGGCTGTGGCTGCTGCCCAGGAACTATGACACCTGGGTTCTCTTCCTGGTTTTTTCCCTGGGTGTTACCAGCCCCTTCCCCTTTGTATTGCTGAGTATGACGCAGAAAAACTGATGCTGCCCTTTGTGCAGTGCAGGGGGGCTGGGAAGGACCCGGTCAGAGACACCAACTCAGGCCCAGGGAGAAGAGGGTCAACTGCCTCAATGAGGCTTGCACCCTTGGCAAACCCTGCAGGAGAGGAGGAATGGGAGAGGAGGGGAGGTGTCATTAAGTGCCGGAGAGAGGGGGTGCCAGGAGTCAGGGGTTCTTACTTGCTTCAGGGACTCAGAAAAGCCCCTGGCTGCTGCTGTGTCATGGTCTCAGCTCAGTCCTTGCCTGGAGTCTGCAGGGGACCTGTTTGGCTGGGACAGTGGGGAACTGGAGTCACTGACAAACAAACTACACAGCAGAAGGGGCAACTGTGCCACTGCACCCTCTTGGATCTGTCCCTGGTTCTGGCTCCCAGCTCCCTTGTGTTATTCCTGTAGGATCCAGGAGACTGTAACCCCTCTAACTCCTGGACCCCATCCCCCACAGAGATGAAGATGAACCCAAATGCTCTGAATCCAAACCCTGTAGCTACAAGGTAATCTATTTCTGTCTATAGCCACGCACACATATTGACTACCCAATGGAAGGAACGATTCAGTATCTGTACTACATAAAGGGTACTCAGTGGAGCTGGCTGGTGGCCATCCACCCCTGAAAGAAGGAAGGCTATAACTTGGGTCCATGTTTTTCAGAGGGGCTGTAGCAGGTCTTGGCCATAAGGATGGCCATGATGACCCTTGCTGGCCAAGATAGTCCTGCCCCACTCTGGCTCCTTGGGGTACCCTCCTTTGTCTACCTTTCCTGCCACACCTGGAGGGACCCTATAGTACATAGGGAGGTGGTGTCAGTGTCCAAGAGTGAGCCTCAGCTGTCTAGCACATCACATGTCTAGCTGGCACTAGACTCAAACCTCCAGCACTAAATCATGTCCTTCCTGGCCCTAACCATGCCCTAGGGAACTAACCAATTAGGGGGCAATAATCATATTCTTTTGCCAACCCCATAGCCAAGTCCATACCCAGAGATGTGGGTTTTCTGGAAAATTTTGAATTGGAAATTTTCTGGAAAATTTTCCAATGCCCGAAATAGAGCGTGATCTGATTTAGTATGTTTATTTGACTTATATTTAGTCAATAAAACTAAAATAGTACCCGCATATTAATTTTATGTTCCAGTAGCCACAAGTATTTGAACTGAAATATTTGATTAGGAAAAAAAAATATAGCACACTTAAAGTGGTTTAAATGTTATATTCAAACAAATTCAAAGCTTTATGTGGAAAGAAATTAGTTTTATAGGAATACTTGTAAAAATGTAAAGACTTCCCTTACATTCATAGTTTCATAGTTGGTAGGGTCGGAAGGGACCTGAGCAGATCATCAAATCCGACCCCCTGCCATGGCAGGAAAAAGTACTGGGGTCAAATGGCCCCAGCAAGGTGTTTGTCTAACCTCCTCTTAAAGACCCCCAGGGTAGGAGCCAGCACCACTTTGCTTGGAAGTTGGTTCCAGATCCTAACCACCCTGACTGTGAAGTAGTGCCTCCTGACGTCTAGTCTGAATCTACCCTCTGCCAGCTTGTGACCGTTATTTCTAGTCACTCCTGGGAGTGCTCGGGGGAACAGGGACTCCCCCAATACCTGCTGGTCCCCTCTGACTAGTTTGTCACAGGCCACTAGATCCCCCCTCAGCCTTCTCTTGTGGAGGCTGAACAGGTTCAGGTCCCTTAGCCTCTCCTCATAGGGCCTGCCCTGCTGCCCCCTGATCATGCGAGTGGCCTCTGAACCCACTCAGTGCTGTCCACATCTCTCCTGAAGTGTGGCACCCAGAACTGGACGCAGTACTCCAACTGCAGCCTGACCAGTGTCGCATAGAGGGGGAGGATCACCTCCTTGGACCTGCTTGAGATGCATCTGTGGATGCATGACAAGGTGTGGTTGGCCTTCCTGACCGCATCCCCACATTGGCAGTCCATGTTCATTTTGGCATCAATAATGACTCCAAGATCCTTTTCTGCCTCTGCACTGACAAGAAGGGAGTTTCCCAGCCTGTAGGTATGCTGCTGGCTCTTCCTCCCCAGGTGCAGCACCTTGCACTTGTCAGTGTTGAAACCCATCCTGTTCTCATCCGCCAGTTACTCCTGTATCCTGTCTAGGTCCAATTGCAGCCTATTCATCCCTTCTAGCATGCCCACATCCACCCACATCTTAGTGTCATCAGCAAATTTGAACAGGGTGCTTTTTACCCCCTCATCCAAGTCGCTGATGAAGATGCTGAACAGCTCGGGTCTGAGGACCGAGCCCTGGGGGACACCACAGCTCACATCCCTCCAGGTCGAAAATTGTTTGTTTAAACATTGTTTCTTTAAATCTAAGAAGGCTCTGAAAACTGTTGACACACTAATTTTAGCACACCCAAAGAGCTGTGTATGATATCCCATGGTTGTCCACTCATCTACTTCAGCAGAGTTTCACTCTCTTCCACTGAGGTCATTGCAGCACCTCCAGTTTCACTGTCACTATCTGCAGACTCACTTGCACTACTTATTAGTTCCATTTCAGAATCAGATTGAAGCAAACCTGATTGAGGACTACTTGAACCACATTCTCTTTCGCTAAAGGATGCTTTTACCAATGAGTGTTTGGGTAAGGGCAAGTTATCATCATACTGCATCTTCTTCACTAATTGTGCTTCTGACATTCTCCAGAAGCAAGACATTTTGAGAGATAGAAACAAGCTTAGCAGTGTGTTCATTTGTTAGTCTATTCCTCTTTTTTGTCTTGATTGAGCTGAAAACCTTCCAGTTCTGTTCACAAGAAGCTGCTGTTGGTGGAACGCATAGGATCTTTAGATCAATCCTGGCCAACAGGCAGGTGTTACAGTATCCCTTCCACCATGTGAAAGGAGACATATTCTCTGCTGCTGGCCAAATGATGTCTTTCCTCCAAAGTTTTTCTTTTGCGCGGTATTCGGCAATGTCATCACAGCTATTTCGTCGATGTTGGGGAAATTCTTAGCTACTTCCATAACTGTATTGAGAGCTGTAGATAATTCATCTTCTGATAAATGTTCTCCTTTGCGTTGAGGATCCAAAAGGTTTGCTGCCAGATGAACTGGATGAGAGCAAAATTCAGATCTCTTAGTAAACATTTGTTTTACTTCTTCTTCTTTGGATAGAGGTGAAGAAGGCAAAAGCTCAATCATTTTCATTCAGTTGTCTGAATATCTCTGGAATATTTGAAGCCACTGAAACTGGTAGTACCAAATTGAATACTCCTGGAACTTGAACCCAGAACACATCATTGTCAAGAATCTGCTTCCGAATGTTCACAGGAATAATCTGGGATTCTGTGTCAGCTGTTGAAACACACTGCAAACAGTTTTTTGTGCACAGCAAACTATGTAAACACTTTGTAGCTGAGTCCCATCTAGTTTCTCCTGGCAATAAAAGTGCACTTTCCTTCCTCTGCTTCTCTTTTTGTAATATCTTTGAAGTCTGATTAGCAACATGATGATTGTTGAATACCTTCACAGTCGCTTTGCAGTTTGCCAATATTGTCGACATTGTCTTCACGCTTGTTATGTCTTTTGCCAGAAATTCAATCCATGAACAAGACAGTCAAATTATATTAAATAAGGATTCTCTGCCTTTAATGTTTGCTATGCAGCTTTCTGTTACTTGCATTATCAGTTACAAGGGCTTGTACCTGGGAGGACCTGCACTTTCAGTCTCTTCACTCAGTAATTTGGCTATGTATTCACCTGTATGATGAGAAGACTTGGTAGCAATTGCTTTTAGGAATATTGGTTTAGGTGTTGTTAACTTAATTTTCAATAAAGGATTTCCTTGTATATCAGTCCATCCATCTGACATCAGAATCAGTGATTCAATCCTTTGAATAGCCATTGTTTGAACTCTGTCATACTCTCTATCTAAGAGAGAATGTGATAAGTGATAATGTGATGGTAATTTATATGAATTTTATGCAACGATGAATTTTTAGAAGTGGAAAATTTCCCACAGAAAAATAAAGCGCTGGAAAATTTTCCGCTCCACATCTCTGGTAGTGGGATAGACTGCCCAGGAAGTTGTGGGATCTCCTTTCTTGGAGGTTTTCAAGAAGAGCTTGGGTAAGTATTGGCTAGGGATGAGTCAGGAGTAGTATTTCTACAGGGGAGAAGGGGGGTGGACTCAATGACCCTTAATGTCCCTTCCTATACTTCTATGATTCAGACTTGCTACTCAGTGGGAATTAAACTGGCTTGTACATGCCTGCCTGCAGAAAGCATCATTGGATAAAATACTTGGGAATGCTCTCAAGGAGATGATACTCTTTTTCACAATCATACAGAGAGCCAGGAATGCATGTACTTGTGAGCGTGTTGCACATGAGGGACAGAGAAAGCAGAAATTGTAGCAGGAAAGCAGAAAAATCTTTTCTTTGCTCTGCTCTGCTCCATGTAGATTTCCATGTGACCCTCATTATGGTGGTATCTGAGCACCTTCTGTAGTGTACAATATCTTTTGTCTGTGATCCCTTCTCTTACCTCACCTCATGGTGAGAATTGTGTGTGCGGAGCAGTGTTAGAACTGGCAGGGTTTGATTTTCATTTTGCTTGGATTGTCTGAGATGCTGTGTGCTACCAATGGCATCTTGGCTGGGGAGCAGTGTGTGAAAAAGGTAGCAGTAGTCTTTGTTCCTGTGTTAAATTCCATGCTTTCCGATCATAGGCCATAAGAGGTCTGCCTGCTGTACAGGCCAGTTTTCCCCTCACGGAGAAAAGTAGCAAGATACCCATGAGCAAAGTGCTCATCTGAGGGCTTCTGCTTGGGTCATACACTGACTAAGTCCAGGCTTATGAGAGACTTGAAGGAAAAGACTGAGGCTTTAAACTTGAACTTTAGAAGCATTTGTGACGGGTACACGGGGACTGAAGGGAAACAACAATGATTTAATTAGTGTAACCCAGGCGGTACTCCAAGAGGTACCCCCTCTCCAATTGAAGGGATCAGAGCAGGTACACAAGCGCTGTGGGAGGTGTAGGGACTCTCTTCCCCTTATAGAGCAGAGCCAGACCACCACTGGGGCCTTAACCATATACCTTTTAATGAGAGAACAGTACTGGGAACATAACAGGCATAAACCAGGAGGTGTAGGGGACACTACAACTCCCCGAGGGGGCAGGATTCAACAAAGGTAGACACTTACAATCATTGACAAAAGACAGGTTTAACAAAATATAAAACACAAACAGCAGAACAAACAATACTGGTTGGGGAAATATAAAAGGTACAAAATACAAAGTGTCAAATAACAAGGACTATAGGGCCTAGGTACGTGGAGGGGGAAGAACACAAAGACCCTTTTCCACTGCAACAAGAATTTCTCCCTGTTACTTCATTCATCCCAGCTGAGATTTGAACTCAGACCTCCCACATGGTAGGAAGAAACCCTACCACACAACCTCCAGGGCTGGCACTACTCTAAGCTGCTAGGGGTCTTGACCTTCCCGGAGCCCCAGCCTCATGACGAGCTGCCTGGCCTCTTATTGCAGGAGCTGGAGGCAGAGCTGGGAACCTCTCAGGTCGCTGCTCAGATCCTTGCTGGAGCTGGGGAGCCTCTCCTGCTGGCCGCAGCCTCTCATAGGGGATCCTGGAGCTCAGCGGGAGCCTCTCCTGCCGGCCGCACGCCGCGCTGCTGAGGCTCCAACTGCCACCTGCAGGTCCCACTCCTTCAGGCTCTTCTGGGGCAACTGCTCCTGCCCTGCTGGCCCAGCTCTTGCCAGCTCTTTGAAACTTCTTCCTCCTGGTCTCTCGCTGGTCTCCCCTCAGTCAGCCGCGCTGCCCCTTTTATCCCCCTCCAGGTGACCCAAGGGGTCAATCAGGGGACACGGAGGGTGAGTCTCTGGGTCCTGGTTGGTGAGAAAAGGGAATCCCAAGTCCTCCAGTCTTCTTTTACCCCTTCAAAACTCCTGGGCCAAATTATTACCGGATTGGTGAGGAAAGGGAATCCCAAGTCCTCCAATCATCTTTTGCCCTTTCAAAACCCCTGGGCTAAGTCACTGCCAGCTAGCCCATCTCATTAGCAATGAATGACAGGTGGAGAAAATGGACCCTGGGATGTAATTAAAGACATTGGCCACAATCTTATTGTACTTTTAGGACATGAAAGTGACACAAACAGGGATTTTAGGCAGCTCAGTCAGTGAGTGTGTTCCTGGGCCACAGTCAGGGGTGACGTGTAGGGGGTGTATGTGGGTGCACGTGTACTCCCTGAGCGTGGCGGTGCACCCCCTGCAAAAAGGCACCTGCGGGCGGTCACTGCTTGCCACTCCTGCCACTGATACTGCCGGCGGCATCTGCGGGCAGTCCATGATTCCTGCCGGTGGCATCTGCAGGTGGTTGCAGACCCCTGCTTGGCGCTTGCCAACTCCCCCTCCCCCCACACTGTGGACAGTGCCAGTGGCATATGCAGGAGCTCCCAGCTTACCGCCACTAGGCTTCTGCTGCCGCGCTCCCACCACCGCCAGTGCAGCCGTACGCCACCAGCCACCAGGGGCACCACACTGCTCATGGCCATGGTTCTCTGCACTGTAAAATCATAAGATGGCTTGATTTCTTATGTGACTCCCTTTTGGCTTGAAAGAACTGTCAATGAATAGACTGAGGCTACTGCTTATATTTAGAGGCAAGATAAAATGGCTCTTAGGCATTTCAGGCCATCTACATTCTGGAGTGAGCCAGTTTCACTGAAAGCTTTTTAAATCTGCCTTCGGCCCCAAATCCATAGATGGATAAAAACCACATCAAGCAGCCATTGCAAGTTGAGGTCGTGCATGCAATTTAGTGGATGAAGAGGACCACTCACCTTTTGTGCAGTCCCCTAAGGGACTGTGCACTTCCCCAGGAAGTGGAAGAGCTGGTTTATAGACCTGAAAGGGTTTGAACAAACATACCAGGAAAAACTCCAGAAACACCAGGCTATGGGTTAGACAAACTGAGTCTGCATCCTCCATTTCTCCTCAAACTGGCCTGCTGGGTGGAAAAGCACACCAGAGTCTGGGGGCCAGAAGAAGGACAAGCCAAAGGGAACCTGACTCTGTAGGCCAGTGAAGGGGCACTTCAGCTGTTTGAGAGGAACAAAGACTGCACGCTGTGGGGTCACAGTTGTTCCTGAAAGGCACTGTTTTACTTCCCCCATGAGTTGGATTGGCTAGTTCTGGCAGGGCAAGAAGGGCTCCTGGGCTTTTTCTGAGATCAGAATTGTTTTCAATCTGACACCCATGGTTTTGCAAATAAAACAACTGTCTAAGTGTTAGTGCAGCAGTTGCTGCCTTGTGTCTAGTTAAAGTGCCCCTTTGTTCCTCCATGCAAGGAGGTGTTGGGTGAGGCTGGGGGAGATGCCAGCCAAAAAGGCTGGAGACTCTTTATAGAAAGTGCTCCAGTGCAGGGCTGGCCTGAGTCATTGCATACCTGGGCCAGGACTTGCTCTCCTTCCTAAGTCGAGCCTCCTCTGATGGCAACCAGCAGGTGGAAGATGGCCTTGCAGTGAGGGTGTTGTTTTGGGGTTCAGGATCTGGGGGCTCAAGTCCCAGCCATTCTGCAATGTCCCTGCACCTGGGGAAGCAAGTCATTCTATGGATGTGCACTTCAGGCTGCCCCCTGTAAAGTGAGGGTGAGTCTTCTTCTCCACACTCATTTTTGGGGAGAAGTCTTTCATGACTATGAGGGGCCCAAGAATGAATGTTGCTGCACTGAAACATGGGAATATGCTTCACTGGCAAGGACCACCTCTACATCCTCTGGAGAGGATGCCTTGAGAGAGCAGTGATGCCTTGGGATTGCAGAGAAAGGCTTGTCACTGCGAGCTCTTCCGGTCAAAACCCCCATTATTTGTAATATTGCATAAATGTAAGTGTCTGCCTTATGGTGTTTAAGCACCGGGGCAGGCAGGAATGATGGCTTCTTTGATAGTGGGGTACCATGCCCTCCTTTCCAAAGCTGCCAGTTTAGGCAGAGCTGGCATCAGAGATAGTTTCATCACCACCCTCATCCCTATGGGGAAATCTGCAGGGTCTGTGTAGAATGGCCACACATGGCTTGGAGTGGCTGGCCTCAACCCCAGCCCCACTCCTGTCCCCACCCTCTGGTCCCACCAACTCCCTGCAATTGTTTGCCCTAGTAGAAACCACAAAGGATGAAGTAACAGAGTTCAGGCCCTCACGGCCACTGGCAGGGGGGTCCTCTCCCATGAGGAAGGTCAGGGGTCTCCTTGTATCAGACATAGGTTCCTCTCCCATGACCAAGGTCAGGGGTCTCCTTGTATCAGACATAGTAAAAACTCTGCCTAAGATTTGGGGGCCCATTGCAAGTGCAAGGCCCTGCCCAGTGCAATGTCCTGCCCAGAAGCAGGGGGAGATGAGGCCCCTGCTTGGACATGTTTATCTCAAAATGAGACACAAGGAAGATTATTGCTTCTCTCTCAGATCAGGCCCAGGAAACCCAGAGAGAAGCATCCTGCCCTAGTGGCTTCTGCCGCTGTGAGGACTGTTCACAGATCCTGGCTCCTGCCCAGGATCTGATGGCTTTATGAGGATGCAACGGTCTCCCCAGGACTCAGCTGGCTTATCCTAGGACAGCAAACCCTGGGGCAGCTAGGAAGGGAGCCTCAGGGGCGGGAGAAGTGATGTCACTAGGGCTCTTCTGAGAGAGAGGATGACACAGAGGGACTCGAGCAAACAAACAAGCCAAACCCCTCTGATGACAGGAGCAGGATAGGAAATGCTGATCAGTACGGTGTGTGTGGTTAGTTAATCTAGTTATAAGGGGTAAAGAACTAAAGAGCCAAAATGCCCAAGTTCCTTCCCTGAGCTCTGTCACCATCTCCCTGTGTAGCTTGGGCAGGATGTTTCAAAAGATGCACTTGCCCATGTACCTGACAACTTGTTGCTAAAAATGTTCCTGGTTTAAATTTTCTGTCATAGTTTAAAACGGCTAGATGAGCAACGTGTATGTGATCTACAACATAAGGGCTTATTATGCTATGACTAGTAAAAAGCACTACAGAGCATGTCAGAACTATTTTATCCTCCCGTCCTTTCAGTACTACTTTACTGCCAGGTGGCGTTTTAGGACAAGATTTGGTATTTTAGCTGGTTTATTTTTTTGGGCCATGCCAGGTTGCTTGGGGGATTGTTGGCGGTTTTGCTTGAGAGAGACGCATTTTGGGGGTGGGGGTTTAGTTCAATAGGCTCCCCTGCAAAGCCTTCTGCTTTTTTCTGGGTGCTTGTTGCTCATTGCACGAGCCTTTGTTGGCTGGGGTGGGAAATCTGTTCATACAAAGGTCCGCAAGAGTGAGCCTTCCTGCCTCCCCCTCACAAGTCTGTGTTGGCATTGGAGGTCTGTACTGCAGGCCTCCCGAAGGGGCTGCCCCCCTCCCCAAGCCTGGTCCCCAAGCAGTTCTGCCCCCTGCTTTTTCTGCCATGATCAGCCTACTCCAACTCCCTCTCCCCCCCTCCCCTCGGCATCACCACACAGTGGCCAGCATGAGCTAACACCTCCGCACAGCAGGGGCATGGTGTGGGTTGAGGTGAAGAAAGAAAAAGCCCAGGCTCAATGAGAGGAATTTTCTTATCACTTAGTCTATTTGCATGTCAATCTTTTAACTGTTGCATTGGCAGATCATCATCACCTGCAGTCATATCCCCCCAGCCTACAACCAGATCCCTCCAATACTTGTTCCCCATCTTGTCCTCCACCCCCCAAGCTTGCCTCTCTTCTCTGGTTCTCCTGTTCCTTCTAAGCCTATTTTTGTCCCCAGCAGCATGTCCCTGTCCCACCCTCTGCTTGCCATTGCTCTGCCTGATGATCTTACTGCTTCCTCTTTCTGCGAGTGCAGGGGTTTGCAGGTCAGGAGTGAGGGGCACAGGCAGAGGGTGCCACCCATGCTAACCACAAGCCCCCCGATGTGCTCATGCCACAACTCCCAGGCCACTGCAGGGAGAGGAGAGTCACGCACTTGGGTCCTGCAGTGCACCCAGCTCTGGGTTGTAATGGCCACGTATAACAGTGTATGGTGCGGGCTATGCTAAATTGTTGTATGTGGTCTTGTACCCAGCCCTGGGGTGCATCTCAGCCCTCCCCATACACTGTTATATGGAGCTGTTAGACTCCAGAGTTGGGTGCCTCCTGTAGGACAGGAGAGGATCAGTTCCCATCCCCCCTTAGACCATTACCTTAAGATTCCTCAACAGAACCTGTAAAACCAGTTGAGTGACTCTGGCTGACCCTGTTTACATTTGAGTGACTCTCTGCCAGCCCTGTTTACATTTTCACTGACATCCTGCCAGACTTCTTAGCTTCTTTCATTTCATGCAGTTGCAGAACAGCAGAGACTCCCTATGCCTGAAGAAGGGTGATTGTGCCTGAAAGCTTGCTTAAAACCTTATTCCAACTACTCAGTTGGTCTAATAAAAGATATCATATCTACCCAAGAACCTTGCCCGCCTATGTCCTTAGACTAACATGGCTACAACCAAAAGCCCCATGCCATGTCTCTGTGTTTTTTCTAGTTTTCTGGTTTTCCTGGAACTGGGCTGTTTTTTGGGCTGGGATTACAGGTGGAAATTCTCCCTGGACCAGCCTATATGGTCAGGGGTGTCCAAGAGAATCCCCCAGTGAGGTATGGCATGGGGTAGACTAGGTCTGAGGTGTAATAGCCATATACACCACTGCATGGAAATGGCAGATGTGTGCCCAGCTCTGGGGTGTAACAGCTGCATATAACAGTGTATGGGGAGGGCTGATATACACCCCAGGGCTGGGTGCAATGGCCACATATAACAGTTTAGCACAACCCACACCATACACTGCCAGTACCCTTCACTCCTGATCTGCAGCTCCCTATCCTCCCAGGAGTGGTGTGCAGTGGGTCCCGGAGGGATCAAAGCCCTAAGCCGCAGGTGTCAGCTTGGGTTCTTTCTGATCCCCCTCTGGTATAAAGCTGGGCAGCTCAGTGTGCAGATGGCACATAGAGGATCCTGAAGACACTCAAACCTGGAGTTGAAAGTAGGAGCCTAGGTGTTGCTAGGTCAGTGATACAGATTTTTGCCTACCATGTGGGAAACCAGGGTTCAATTCTTGGCCAGAGCACCAGAGGATTGAGTTGCTTGCGAAAGGGAATCCCTCACCTCTTTTACCAGGTCTGACCAACTGTCCTAATCACTAAGGTACAAGGCAGGGGTGGGGAGGTGGTCCTCCTCCATGGCTATGTAACTAGCACTTCAGCATGTAAAGATGAACTAGCATTTGGCTCTGAGTGTCTAGATCCTTTGGGTACCTGTGAAAATCTCACTGAAAACCTGCATTTGGTTTTTCTTTTTTATAAAAGAAATGAACCATCTATAAACTAAATTTGATCATTTCTTGCAGGATTCCACACTCCCCATTGTGGATCTTCTTAATAATACTGCTTGGGGGGTACCCTTAGGAGGGGTCAATTGTGCATCTCACCCTCTATCATGAAATAAGTGAATCTTATTGCAGCTTTGGATGCCTTTTTTTTTAAATTCATCTTGGATGTCTTTGTCCACCAGCATTAGTGTCCATCAAGCTATTCTGTAATTAGATACTTTCCCTTCAAAAAATCATAGAAAAGCAGGGGTGGAAGGGACTTCCAGAGGTCACCCTGTCCAACACCCCCACCTGAAGCAAGATCATCTCTATCCAAACCATTATATACAAATCCATTTTCTAACCTATTAACAAAACTATGCAGTCAACCCCAGTATTGCCAACCCTGCCATGAAGTGTGTTGTGGGGGGGCAGGAAGGGGGTTATTTGTGAAGGTGTTGTGGGCTGTGGGTGTATGTGGGGGGTTTGGAGATTGGAGAGGGAGGGTCCCTATACACCCTGGCAGGATGTGGGGTCAGGAGTGAAAAGCAGCAGCAGGGCTGGGGGGCTGTGGCTTGGGAGTGAGGAGCAGACAGACAGGCAGACAGAGACACACAGAGACACACAGAGACACTGACAGACAGCACCCAGCTGGTAAATGGAAGGAAAGGGGTCGCAGGGGGGTGGGGTTGGGGAAGGGATGGGGGAGACTGAGGCCCCCGTAGTGAGGGAGGGAGTGGGCAGGAGCAAGGCAGGGGTGAATGGGGCCCTGGGGCCAGGACAGGTTGTCCAGAGGCATGGGGGGAGAGCGCAACTCCCTGCAGCAGCGCACACACCCGAGTGAGGCATGGGGGCACGTGCCCCCACAGGGTGAAAGCAGGCTGCCCGCTGCAAGCTGGGGCTCTGCACCCCTCTGCCTCCAGAGCTCAGCCGCAGGACCCCAGCATGCCCCCTGCCGCTGTGCAGGCAGGGGATGTGCTACACTGCCAACATGCCCTGTGTCCCCTGCCTGCCTGGTGGGCATCAGTGGCATTGCGCAGCTGAGCTCCTGGGGCAAAGGCAGCAGTGCACAGAGCCCCAGCCAGCAGCCTGCCTCTGCTCTGTGGGGGACCCCCCCTGGTAGTGTGCACTGCTGTGGGGAGCTGTGCTCCTTTCCTGCACCTCTGGATGACCAGCCCTGGCCCTGAGGCCCAATTTGCCCCTGCCCCTGCCCCTGCTCCTGCCCCACTCCCTCCCTCACTGCGGGGGCCTTGATCTCCCCCACTCCCCTCCCTTTCCCTCTCCCCAGCCCCTTTCCCTCCACTTACCAGCTGGGAAAATCTGGAGATCTGAGGGTTGGACTGGGAGATCGCAAGTCAGAGTTATTTGGACTTTGAAATCCTGAGTCTTGTGATGGTTTTGCAACAGTTGGCATTACTGGCTAAGGCTGGGGTGGAGGTAGGCAAAAC